AAAAAAATATATAGTATCTATTTAGTTAATTTAATTTTGTTTTAATAAGATTGATATATGTGCATCGATCCCAATAAAAAATCCGCAATTAGTGATGACCCCGCATATAAGCCATTGAACACCCTAATTGGACGTTGATTTGGACGTCGATTTGGACGTCAATCTACCACTACATCAGTGTCCATAAAGGCATAAAAACAGTTACTGTATACATATAAATATTACACTTAGGTTTGCTTATGTCGCAATCAATAAAGAATAGATTATAAAAATAATTCAATTATTCAAATAAACCAAAAAATCGCCATTTGTTATGCGTTAGTAATCACAGTTGGAAGTTATGATAATTTATTGTCAAAATCACCTAGAAGGGTTTAAATTAAATAAGGTTATCTAATAAAAAAAATAAGTGTCCTGCACATCTGGTGGACAAAAGTAATACAGTCAGACCCCTAAATGCATGTCCTATGAAAAGCCTCCCTAAATGCACGTCTCCAATAATATTATGCTTATAAATTTTTATCTCCCTAAATGCAATACCTCTCTAAGTGCACGTTTGGCTGAATTTTTACATATGGTCCCATCGCATTGCATTTAGAGAGGTCTGACTGTATGTCTAATTGCATACTTTCATCCACAGAATATATAACTTATGCATGCAATTCAGGAAACATCCAGCATTATCAGACAGCCAAGAACTAAAATAATTTCTAATGACCGCGGTTCTTTTACATTTTCCCACGCAGTTTTTGTGATAGTTAGATCCCCAATAACGTCCCAATTATCTTTAGTTAGTTCAGGTCTCTTTAGGGATGCTATAATCACTTTATTCTTTTTCTTTGCTGATCCAATCAAAGATGGTTGCATTTCATATTCAATCCATTCACAAATAAGATCGCAATCCTTTGCACCAAAAACACTCGGTCTCCATCGATAATCTTTTCCTTCAAAATCAAAGTGCCAGGTGTTGCTGATCGATCCTGTGCGACGAAATTCGGTATCTGCACCGATAAGACATTCGCTTTTTATGGTAATAGTTGGCTCACCTGATGGAGAAACTTGTTGCGCTTCGAGTATTGTA